CTCAGTGCATGGGGAAAACCCACCCTCTCCAATAACTAACTAACTATGAAGCTCCTCGTTTTGCAGTTTTCTCCAACCTCCCGTCACCAGGTACGAGGTTTATTGTGATGTTTCGTAACAAGCTTATTTTTAACGACGAGGAGCTGTTAGCCCCACGCCCAACCCCCAAGCTGGAGGGGTACCCTTTGTAGGCTGTCGGCGACTGCTTATTCAATATTCGCAGCTACCCTCCATATTTGGAGGCCGTCTAATCCAACCGCAATCTGAGGACGCGCCATGTCGTGGTGACAAGCGGCCCACCTAACATAGAATAAGGCCTATAATTTTATAGATAAAATATATTACATAAAATATATCCCAGATTCTATGTCTGCATAATTTTTTACCTCAGTGTATTGCACAGTTTGGAAAAAGACAGCTGGGCCGAATATGAACCATGGTCTGAAGGTCAAACAACGCTGACACAATGGTGCTTCCCTTAATTTGTGAATTATAGGACAACATTTAATCGCATGCGAATTATCTTAATAACAAGGAACACTTTTGCTGGATTCAGGAGGTGATTCTTCCAGTAAGACTTCTGCTATCATAAGATTCTGAGTTCTTCTAAAGGAGCCCATACAGATACGAGTCTGTGTCGGCGATCTTGACTCGGGAGCCGTGCTCGGATTAATTGCACCACAAACGCATGAGATGACTCCAAACTTTGCGCCCCACACACGGACGAGTTTGGCCCATTGGAGCCCGAGCCGAGTCGAACTCCCGAGTCAGACTCGTACCTTTATGGGCCCCTTAAACGCCAGGATATCTCAGCACAAAGTAGACATAACATTCTCGTTTCATCTGCCGTTCATTTCTCATTGTCTACTAATAGCTAGCCTTAGACGGTGTAAAGAAAACCCGACTATGCATCTTACTAAGCGGCCTAGCAAATACAACCCTTAAGCTTCAGTGGCGGCTTGTAAGACTCAGATGTGAGGTACGATTGATTTTGCACAGTAATTAAATGAAGATCATTGATTTCTCGCGATGTTAAAGGATAAATACAGATAGACTTGAAAGGATGCTGACCATGGTGTATACTGTATTTCTTTGGGCTTGTTTTGGACTTCATCCATCGTCTGGTATGTGAAAGACAAAATACCACGACGTTTCGGAGACTGGATCTGTCTCCGTCTTCAGGTGGGTAGGGAAGGATAAACTGGACCAGTGATTGAGACTTGCTCTTTCTAACGGACCCAACTGAGTAGGTTTATCTTTCCCTACCCACCTGAAGATGGAGACAGATCCAGTCTCCGAAACGTCGTGGTCTTTTTTCTTTTACATACCAGACGATGGATGAAGTCAAAAACAAGCCAAAAGACGTATAAATACAGCTGTTGTATTTCTTTAACGAACGGAAACTGCATTATATGTAGCATGTTCACTTTCGTGTTATCACATCCATACATGTGCCCTTCATTAAATTCATTCAGATTTGGCACAGAAAAATATAATGAATTATCAAAATAACGTGGAAGAAACTTTAAATTCATGTGTCATTAAGTTCCATTAATTTTTTAGTTTGTCGAGATTTCTATCGCAACTACAGAGTACAGATAACATTACTTAAAGCTTCAACGGATTAAGAAATTATGTCTTTTTATGAAACTATTTCTTTGTAAGTTTTGAAAAAATGATTCCGTTATGTATAGTGTCACGTGTTGGGTGTATAACGCGACAATTAACTTCACGCCTTACTGGATATAGCGAATTTTATTTCACATTCGCTCTTATAATTACACAATTTACAAACTTAACATTACTGCCATTGGCAGTATCACAAATACTGTACTGCGATTAACTAGTGACTGACTCGTAACTAGATAACTCGAGAACTTGAGAACTGTCTTCGGCGGCTGCTAAACATTAACTAACTTGTTCACTGCTGACTGGAGAACTGTCTTCGGCCGCTGATACACTTTAACTCCTTCACTCTTGATCACACACTGACTTCCAAGTGCTGACTGGAGAATGTGAGAACTGCCTTCGGCGGCTGCTAATCTGTAACTAACTCGGCGGCTGTGTAGTTCCCTTATATAGTCGCAGCGCCCACCTGTTACGTAATGGGTACCGCTGTTGCCTGTTACCCATGTCACAGCTGCGTTGCGTGTTACGTCACCACGGGAGTAACGACAGCGCAACGATGCCGCCACGTACCGCTGGAGAGGGAGGGGTGTCCTCCATTGCGCAACACGTGACAATATATATATATATATATATATTGTCACGTGTTGGGTATGTGTCACGCGACAAATAACTTCACGTCGTCTTGGATATAGCGGATTTCTTCACTCACTCTTACATTTATACAGTTTACAATTTTACAACTACTCCCGTCTGCAGTATCACACTTACTTCTCCTGCTGGAGTCACTGCCATTCACTCGATACAACTCAATAACAATGGACTTCAACTCACTCCGGCGAATGCTAGACCGCAACTGACTGCTTACTCCGGTAATCCTCGTTACACTGACAAATACTTTTCGTTATGTAGCTTCCGCACTAACAACACAGAAAACAGTTACGTGATAGCTACCACTGTTGCGTAAACGCCGTGTTTACAAGCGTTGCTGGGGAACGCTTCCGAGAGTTGTTTATTGCTGTGTAGTAACCGCGATGCCCACTGTTACGTCACTGCGGGAAGGGGGACGGAGTGTTTACCGGCCTGTTACCGTAGCAGCGGCAGTTGCTCCGATGCTGTTACGTCACCGCTGGAGGGGGGAGTCTTTACCGAGCGTTGCGCCGTCCACGTCACATTTCTCCCTTCTAATGGTTGTTAGTCTCTAACAGCCTAACGGTACATCCCCGTTTTTTTTCTTCTCTGGTGTTCGTCTTCGGGGCGCTACTTCCGCTCTCCCTTTTTAAAAATGCTCGTCTCGAACAATTCCATGGTCTAGCGGTTGTTGATTCCGTCGTTTCACATTCGTCCCTCACACTCATCCATCGCTCATTCACTCGTTCTAGCTGGGGAGGCCGGTGCTTCTGGGTTAGCGGTTCCTCCATCCTTCGCTATTCCATTTTTTCCGTTTCGAAGGGGGCCGACCTCTACACAAGGTCCAATCCTTATTTTGTCATAGGCTGACAGAAGATCCGACTCTTCGCTTCGCGATCTTCACGCTGAAAATCCAGTAGAAGGCCTTCTTACAAGTTATTCTCCCTCCTAGGTGCGATGGCTGTCCTAATGTACACCCTCCGATGGCGTCCTTGATTGGCACTTTCTTCTTCTGGCATAGCGGCCGTCTGCCGCCTGTTCTTCATTCCTGTTCTTGCTTACAGATTTCTTGTTCAGCAATGACCCTGGTTGAATATTTCTTTACGAAATCTCCCTTGCGTCGTGTCACACTTGCACCGCTAGTCATATTTCTGTCGGCAGCCAATTCGTGCCGCTGGCCACACTTTCCTTGGGTCGTAGATTTCCTGAAGATGTTCCTTTTGCGCCATGCCACTGTTGCGTGAGCGGACACCTTCCTGCTGGTTTTCTTTTGCCGTGCCACTTCCACACAGCGACTCGTCCCTCTGCGGGTGACGGTCATTCTTCTTCAGCACCCATCCTTTTCCTGGGTCTATTTCTTCATTTTTAGCTTGCTTCGGTCCCTACGCCTTTTCTTCTTCGGTTCTCCGACCGGAACTACTTTGGCGTATATTATGGGGACTTCTCGTTGTTGGGCCACCTCAGGTTTCCTGTCTACTGAGGTCGGCTCTTCTTCTTCCGGAGATGTCTCCATTTCTTGCAAGCCATAGCCTCTTCGTCCATATCGGGGTTGATTTCGGCCACCATCTCCTTGTGGCTGGTGTCCATTATTTTCATCATTTCCTTCAGTTCTCTTCACTCGGCTCTCTGTCAGCCTCCAATCTGGCCAGCAGCTCTTTATGGCCGGCCTCCGTCTTAGCTTGGTAGGCGTCTAATTTTGCCACGAAATCTTCTTTGTCTTTCTTCCTATTGGCCTCCATTTCTTCCCTGTCGGTTTTTCTATTGGCGCTCACTTTGGTCAGCATTTGTTCTTGGCCGGCCAACAGACGTTCCATCACCGTTTCCATATCCATAATGTGGCAGTGTAACACTCGTTTCAATTGTTTGTCCTAAATTAAGGCGTGGTTAAGTTCGTAGACACGTCTGACACCAAATTGTCACGTGTTGGGTATGTTACACGACAAGTAACTTCACGCCGTCTTGGATATAGCGAATTTATTCCACTCGCTCTTACATTTACATAGTTTACAATTTTACAACTCCTCCCATCTGAAGTTTCACACTTACTTCTCCTGCTGGAGTCACTGCTATTCACTCGATACAATTCAATTACAATAGACTTCAACTAACTCCGGCGAATGCTAGACTGCAACTGACTGGTTACTCCGGTAATCCTCGTTATGTAGCTTCAGCACTGACAACACAGAAAACAGCTAGTGATAGTTACTTCTGTAGCGTTAACGCCGTGTTTATAGGCATTGCTGGGAAACGCTGCCGAGAGTTGTTTATTGCTGCGTAGTAACCGCGGTGTCCCCTGTTACGTCACCGCGGGGGATGGGGACGGAGTGTTGACTGGCCTCTTACCGTAGCAGCGGCAGTTGCTCCGATGCTGTTACGTCACCGCTAGAGGGGGTCTTTACCGAGCGTTTGCGCCGTCCACGTCACAATATATATATTGTCACGTGTAAGGGGTTGTGTGTGACTTAGAAGATGGATTTTGGACTGAACAGTTCCATCTGGGACGCTTTCGCTTTGGGAAAGTACATTGTTCCACACAATCCCTTACAGTAATTCGGTCAAGAAGGATAATAATGGAACCAGCAGAATACACTACCACGATATTGCTACCCAAATCATCACAGAATTGACGCCCGTGTTTCACTGTTGGGATCGAACTAGACATTCTGGATTAAAGGCTTAATTGGTTATTCTCCGAACGCAAACGTTTCCTGACGGACGCTGGGACCAGCGTGAAGGCGACTCACCTGACTATATCACGCGCGCGTTTCCGCATGTCTGGCGTCCAGGATTTATGATCGTGACACCACCGTTTACTCATCTGAGCATTACTTTCAGTAATCAGAGGTTTAGCTATTGCAGCCCTACCGTGGTTGTTGGGTTTGTGAAGCTTACGTCGGACAGTTTTTGTGGAAATAGTGTCTTCAAAACGAATATTCAGGGCTGCTGTCCGGTCACCTGTGCTACAGTAGTTCTGGGATTTTTCGAAACAATCGTTTTCAATGCACGAAGATCTCTCTCTCTCTGTCAAAGTTGCTTTTCGCCCACTGTTCTTCTTCGCTGATGTCGTCTTCCCATGATCCGTGTATGCCGACATAACCTCAGAAACTGTCACTCTCGGTACCCCTAATAATGTGGCGGTTTTTGTCACAGACGCTCCAGCTAAACGCGCACCAATAATATGTCCTCTTTCGAAATAGGACAAGTTTCCCATTTTCGACTCTTTCACACAGACTGCCACTGAAAACAATCACTAATGCACAGACATGAGCACTGCAGATTGTAGAGAAATGGAAGAAGAGCATTCAGTGTTACCAACTGAAGTTTTCAATGCAGCCAACACAAACAAATCCCATTCCTCAATTTCTTATTGTTTATAATATTTTGTCCACCTCTGTATATCAACGCAGGGCCGTTCATTTCCTCCAGTTCCTATCTCCATTTGCTCTGGCTCTCATCTGTTTCCCGTGTGCCTAGACAGGTTTTCTGCATACTGCACAATGCAAATGTCCACCAATTTCTGACTCATCCACAACCGTTCAATACAGGAAACGATATCTATGTGACATCAGGTGGCCAAGAATACACATAAGACGTGTCAAATAAAATTATTTTGTTATTGTGACATTAATTTAATTATAATTAATAATTCGTCCTTAAAAATAAAAATTGTGTGCGGTATCACGTACCTTCATTTTAAATTCTGAATTGAACGAGAGGCGTATGTAGGAACAAATCAATGTTCGTCCTTTGCAGAGCACTAACTTTCATATATTAGTGAAGAGGCAAAGCGCAAAAAGGTGCTACAGAAATTTGAAGGAATTTGATCATTTCAGTGCCGCAACATATGGAGCAAGGACATACTAAGGAAGCCTGGAGAAGGTTCATTGTGAGATCTGCAGCTGTAAATAATATATGATTAAATAAGAAATGGGCCTGTTTCTGGTAGAGAGAGGAGTAGTATGAAAATTTCTCTAATTTAGTCTAATTCGGAATCACCTAAGTTCCTACATAAGATGGCAACTGAAATTCGACGTATCCAGACCAAACATTTCCTTCCTCCTTGATATTCCATACTACAAAACGTTATAGTTTACTTAGAAGGCGTAGATGGGAGAATAATACGTCATGAGAATGGAACTTTTAAGGTAAGAATTGAGGGTTTGGATTGGCTTCAGCTGGCTGTTGAATGACTCTTGTATACATCTCAATAAATTTTCATAATCCATACAGCGCAATAAATCTTTTGATTAGCTGAGTAGCTATTAGTTTCTCAGGGAGGACACTTTCTATTTAGTTAGTTAATTCTTTAATATACTAAGACAAGCTGTAACACATCGTCAGTTCGGTAGTACATGGAAAGAATTTGAATCGGCCATAATTAATTTGAACGAGCTGAATCTCAATTTAATCTCAACTTGTGTGACTTTCATTGCGAATCCTAGTGCAACCGTTTATTTACATGAAGATGTCGAGAGTCGTGATGAAACGACAGTGACACAGCTACCTACTTCTAAAATCTGAGTACCCTCCACTTCTCGGCTGCATTGCCCCATGCTACCAGCTAACGACAGGTATTGTCCAGGCTGATCCTCAACGCTTAGTGGGTTTAGATGTGTGCAGCTGGGTGGCTGTGTTACAGGGAGCCCCAGAACCGATCCATCAAAACTGTGTGTCAGTAGCCATTAGCACTCCTGCTCTCTATCCGAGGAAGCGGCGCAACACACACAGCTACTGTGCAGTCGCCTGCACTCACAACTGCTGCAGGGCAAGCTTCGGGACCCCCTCACTTTGCGCCGAGTCGCTGGTTGTTTCGTTCCCTGTCTGTAAGATGCTAATTTACCAGAAGACGTGTGTGTGCAGTGGGTGGATAAATCGGAGAGTAGGTGGAGGGGCGGATTGTGAATGTGGGAATAGAAGAATGGATATATTTAATCAGGCCGCGTTGTTTGTATGAGGTAGTACTAACCGTTTTCAGAGCCCTTTGTATGAAACTAGGCTACATGGCTAAAAGTTTTTGTTGACATCTGCTTAGGTAAAAGGTAAATTTGTTCCTGTGCTTATCTAATTAAAAATTAACCCATGTAGACGTATTTGGACCCGAACTCCGATCCCGCGGTCGTCCAGCCCGTAGACAGTCTCTATGCTGACTACGTGGTAAGATATATGTATAGTTTCCCCCTTTGGCACTACATCCCCAGTGGGCCTAGGCCTACCTCCGTGAACTCCGTTCACTTCGGTTTTTCTAGATCTTACACATTCGGTAGAACTCCTTGGGAGGGTGATCAGGTCGTCGCAAGGCCTCTACCTGTACATAAACACAGAAAAACGCACACACACAAATTAAACATCCATGCCCTGAGTGGGATTCGAACCGACGACCCCGTTTTCCAAGCGAGCGAAGAGAATACATGCCTTAGACCGCTCGGCTACCGTGCCCTGCCATTATCAGTTTAGCGTATCAAATACAGTACAGGCTACATATCACCGCCAGTCTCCGTTTCTTCCTGGACCTCTCTAATGATTTTCCTAGAGGTTTCAAGCCTCTACATAAAGCGAAGTTCGTTCTCGTTGCATTAAACACCGTTGTCGACCACAAAATGACACACTGCCTTCCCTAATCATATTTAGTTAGAGTGCGGGACCGCCTCTGTGGTCTAGTGGTCAGAGTTTCTGGCTACAGATGCAGAAGTCCCGGGTTCGATTCCCGGCGCCACCAGATTTTCTGAGAAACAGTGGGTCTGGAACGGGGTCCACTCAGCATCGTGAGGATAATTAAGGAGCTATTTCACGGAAATAGCGGCTTCGGTCTAGAAAACCGAGATTAACGGCCGTGGAAATCCGTTGAGCTGACCACGCGACACACTCTATCCGCAAAGGTTTGCATTAACTTCGGCGATAATCGGCGGTCGCTCGGTCTGTATAGTTTGCTTGTGGACTACTGGCCACGGAGTTTGCTTGGAACGATAAAATTCTTATTGCAAGATGGAACGAGACATAATAACTGTAGGAAATACAGGCATTTCTTGAGAAAACATTGGTCGCTTAGCCGGTCAGTAAATTCCCACTATTTATGGGAAAAATGTTCTGATTGATGTCGAGGTGATAAACAGTAATTAACTAGGCTAGTTACGTAGAAAAAAAGTAGAAGTGATATGCAGCAAATATTTGGACACTAAAACGAAATAAAAAAATCTTTTTTCGTAACTTTATTAATATAGGCCTTGGTCTATTTAAAAGGGACAGAAAACAATTCGGTAGGCATACACGTACAGTATCCTACAAGATTTATGAACCGCAGCTCTTCGGAAGTTGAAGAGAAAACGAAGCGATATCTGGAGTCTCGTGGTTGTTGTATAATCTATGAATTGTTCGATCCAATGAATAATATGCCCAGGGTACGAAAAAACTTACTATTTACCACTCCCAGAGCATAATCGTTGCAATTAGACTAATCTATAGCAGTTGTCAGGAAGAAAATTACACATTACATTAATAGCCAATGAAGTTGTAGCAAGTAATTAATAACAAGTCCATAAGCTGTAATAACACTTTTATGTTTCTGTATGTGGAAATAAATATTATTTCAAGTTTCGTGCTAAATACATGACTAAGTAAGTCTGGGCTAAACGAAAAGTTATGAAAAATGATAGGAAACCACTATTTACGAAAAAAACCAAACAACAGACATGCATGCAAAAAGATCTCACCAGTCATTTGCACAGTTTTATTGTCTCTCACTCAATTACATCCCGGAAGTCATTACAAGCAACCGTAGTACTCACAATATTACATCATACAGCTCAAAATCCATACCGTCCATAGTGAAGATTCAAACAAAATTATAGCCTCTTCTTGTTTCGTTAACTTATTTTTAATTTGTTTGAGGACCTATATGTTGTGACATGACGCCCTAAAGCCGGAATAGTGAAGTCAGAGTAGACGTTCGTTGTTAGGCAACGACTCGGTAAACACATTCCCGTGGCAACGAATACGAAAGAAATAATCAGGTAAATTCCGTCGCTATGCAACGGCGCTGTAAACACGTCTCCCCAACATTAGAAAGACTGTGTTTTCTGCTTGGTCTGTGCAAAAGAGTTATAAAAACGGTTCAATTGAGAAGAATAAAATAGAGTTTCGAGACTCCAGCCTGCCAGGACATGAGCTTGGGAGTAGAGGAATCGAATTGAATCGAGTATTTGATATTGATATTTGCATAATAATAGCAAGAAAGAAATTAAAGGCTGCAGAGAAGACTTCATGTGTGATTTGAAGTGAGAGTGAGGCTGCTATAAATCCGTTGCCAGGATACGACTAGTGAAGACTGAGAACCCTAGTGGGTGTGTAACGCTGAACTGTAAAGCGTGTAAATCAGCGATAGCGCTGTATTGCTTGTTAGTACAAGTTGACTGTGTGAATAAGGTGTCAATAAATCCAATCATCCCACCCAGAACCCGTCTTACATGTCACACGGAAACCCCCTCAACATGACAATATTTAATACACAGATCGTCCAGCTAAATGACCGTACAACAGCAAATAATGTATTAGAAAGGATGTAAAAGAAAGTGGTCGTGGCCATATATTGAGGTACGACCCCAGCATTTACATGGAAGGACTGAGGGCGATGTTCATGATTCGGAAATTTATTATGCTCTTCACTGTGAAGCCTACGGCATTGGTGAAGTGTATGCGGTTACTGAAGAAGGATTCACTGACAAAATTCTTGGCGTGGGCCTAAAATCAAGCGGCCTAAAGAGCTTGTACCCGCTGCAGATGGTACGGGTGCAACAAATCTTCATGCAGAACCCACCATACTGCCATGCTCGCCACGTGTTCGACTGCTTGTACTCGACAGGGGGATCCTGTCTTACGTGTCTCCGTATGCTCTCCTCCACATCCACACTTCGAGCATTTCTCGTTATCCGCTGTGTGCCGCAGAAGGGCGAACAGTACCGGGCAGTCTGCTGCGATATCAACGTCGTTAAACATGTCACGTTGATATTTCTCTGTGCACAAACTTAGAGCTGCTGCACTGCTCACACATTCTTCACCCAGAATGAAATGGATATCTTCTCGGAATATGTGCTCCGTCTC